CATTGCCAATCTGGCTTATTTACAGTGGAATATAAGGGGCCCTCAGGGGTAATCGGGGTGAGCTTCAAATGTTACTCTCCAGTTTTCCCCTGTTGGTGTTTGCTTACAGGAACCAAAATTACACTCTGCTGTTATCTCTCCCATTCAGGCTATAGTTTATTGTATTCTTCAGATCCTTTTCCTGATGGGACCTTTAATGAAAGTGCCCTTCTTCTACGCACTGATATTCCGTACCATCAGCTATTTGTTCGTACTTCGCTGCATTACACAGCAGCCCGTATCCACTTGCATAGGTGGTATACGCTCTGTTTTTTATATCTCTCTCCTTCTCGGGCATTATCTATTCCGGATATTGCCTTTCTTTTTTCGTCATTACCCACCACCGATTCTGTTACTTGGTGATTTTAATGCCCACCTTTTCCCTCTGGGGGGGGTCTCACTGTGATTCCGTGGCATTCAGTTAGAGGCTTTTCTTGCCACCCACCCCCCCCATGTTTTAAATACAGGTACTCACACCCTTTTTGATCGACCCCACACTCTCTCTTGCATCGATCTCTCAGTTTGCTCTTCCTCCGCCGCATTAGACTTCACTTGGTCTGTTCTTCCGGACTTACATGACAGCGATCATTTCCCAATCATTCTTACTTTTCCCCTTCATATTCACCACCTTCGCATCCCACGCTGGCAATTTGATCAGGCAAATTGGAACCTTTACTCACACCTGTTTTTAGAGAGGTTCCTTCTTCGTCCTCCATCGATGAGCTTTTACACCTCTTCTCGTCCTCCGTTTTAACAGCAGCTTCTCATTCTATACCCCAAACTTCGGGCAGGCATTCTCAGAAATGCGTGCCTTGGTGGTCTGCTTGTGCTCATGCAGTACGTTTGAAACGAGCTGCATGGGGCAGGTACCGGTACAATAGAACCACAGAGAGACTTCTTGATTTTAAGCAGAAGCGTGCGATCGCTTGCCGTGTCATCCGTGACGCTAAACGCACTTGCTGGCGAGATTATGTCTCCACCATCACCTCTGCTTCCTCTATGAGTGCAGTCTGGAAAAAAGTACGAAAACTGAGTGGTAAATATTCTCCTGACCCGGCTCCTGTTCTGCGGGTTGCCGGTGTTGATATAGCAAACCCACTAGATGTTGCCAATGAAATTGGCAATCATCTGGTCCGTATTTCTCAGGGACTCCATCTATGCCCTCATTTCTTTCCTCAAAGTCTGCCAGAGAGTTAGCACCCTTGGACTTTTCTTCTCTAGAGAAGAACAGTATAATGTGCCTTTTACACTTCAAGAACTGGAGGCAACACTCTCAGCTTGCCGATCATCAGCAGCTGGGCCCGACGACATTCATATTCTTATGCTACAACATTTACATCAGTCAGCCCTTGCAGTCCTATTACGCCTTTACAATCTTATTTTGGTCACAAGGAGTTCTTCCACAGCTGTGGAAATCCGCCATTGTTTCCCTTTCCGCAAACCAGGCACTACGGGACATGAAACTCCCACTATCGTCCCATTGCTCTTACCAGTGCAGTTTGCAAAGTGATGGAACGCCTAGTAATAGACGTTTAGTGTGGTATATAGAGACACACAACAGTCTCTCCACTCGTCAATATGGCTTTCGTAAGGGACGTTTACCATAGACCCTTACTACGCTTGGATACGTATGTTCGTAATGCCTTTGCGAATAAACCACTCAGTTATTGCCATATTTTTTGACCTTGAGAAGGCTATGACACAACTTGGAGGTAAAATATTTTAGCCCAAGCCCACTCCTTAGGCCTTCGAGGCAATCTACCATCCTTCCTAAGAACTTTTTAACTGACAGGCATTTCCGTGTTCGGGTTAATAATGTGCTCTCCCGGACTTTATCCAAGCTGAAGGTGTCCCCCCAGGGATGTGTTCTGAGCACAACACTTTTTCTCCTTGCTATTAATGATTTGGCCTCTAGTCTTCCATCAAATATTTGGTCATCACTCTATGTTGATGACTTCGCTATTGCCTGTGCAGGCGCTGACTGTCACCTTATTACAGTTTCTCTCCAGCATGCAGTCGACCGTGTTTCCAATTGGGCCACCACACGTGGGTTTAAATTTTCCAGCACTAAAACCCACCAAATTACTTTCACTAGACGCTCTGTCATCTCCGATCATCCTTTGTACCTCAATGGCTCCTGTATCCCTGAACGTGATACAGTCAAGTTTCTGGGCCTCCTCTTTGATCGCAGGTTGTCCTGGAAACCTCACATTACCTCTCTGAAGGCAACTTGTCACAGCCGGCTGAACCTTCTTAAAACCCTTGCTCATCTTTCATGGGGAGCTGATCGTCGAACCCTCCTTCGCTTCATTCCACCCTTTTTTTATCGAAATTTTGATTATGGTAACCGTTTTTTCCCAAGCGGCCCATCTCCTGCTACTCCCCTCTAGCCTTAACCCCTTTCCCATCACCAAGGATTACTTTTTAATCCCCTTGGTGTTTTTTTTCGCTCTTCCCCTGTCGAGAGCCTCTAGCAAAAGGGAAAACGTTCCATCCTTATTCTGACCCCGTATGCCCTTTCCCTTTCGTTTTACAAATGTCGCTCTCATGATCCCCGAAAATCCTTCCTTTTAAATAAATGGTCACTAAATTTTAAAGAAAGACATTTTTTTGTTCACCGCCCCTGTTTACTCCGCCCCTTCTCTTTTTCCCCCTTATTCGCTCTTGTCTTCTCTTCAATTACCCCCCCTTTCTATTACATGTAGCACTCAATTTTCCCTACCCCCCTGGGAAGTTTCCCCTGTTCGAGTCTGTTCTTTCTCTCTCCCTTGCTCGAAAGCCCCAATGTCTAAGGTCCTTCCCGCCCTTTTTTTTCTTTACCCCTTTCCCCTCATTCTCAAAGCCAATGCTGTGTTTCACAATGGCTCTAAGTCTTCTGACGGGGTAGGATTCGCAGCAGTGTTTTTGGGGCAAACGTCGTACAAGGGCAAATTTTCTATTTCGGGTAGTATTTTTACTGCTGGGGAAATTTTAAAGCCTCCTTTTCAAACACTTTTTCCTTTTTGCATTTTATTTCCTGTTCCTCATTTGGGGGTTGTCTCAGACTCCCCTTTGGCTTTTAAAAGGCTATACAGGAAAATTTGTACAAACCCCACCCCTTTGTCCCCCCGTATCCAGTTTGGCTACCCCCCATTTTTTACCAAGCATAAAGATAATTTTTTTTTTTGTTGGGTCCCGGGGCATGTTGGGGTTTTCAGGGCAAAGCAGGCAGACACTCTGCCGGGGGGCAGCAGTACCCTGACCTACCCGTTTTTTAGGTAAGACACATATTTTCAACAGTTAGGTATTTTTTATTATGAAACGTTTGCCTACAAAAGTAGGTTCTTTTGTCAAGTAAGAAAAGGGTTTATAGAAACAAAGATACTTGGGAAAACGATGTAATAGTCCCCAAACCCTTTTTAAAATTTTTAGGTGGTTAGTCCCTCAGTTGGGAAGAGCATTGTTTTCCCTAGTATGAAAAAAAATATGGGGGAAGAAAATGGACAGGGTGGAGCTTTTTTTAGGCCAAGAGGGGGGACGTTTGGCCACTAGGAGAGGTAAGAACTCAGATGTTGGGCAAAGGGCAGGTCCCCCCTAAATCCAGCCCCTTCCTAGGGAAGTTGTCGAAGTTGATTGCAGGTCTTTTACCCAAAATACCCTTTTGTTTTCAAATGTTGGAAAAGATTGAAAAAATTAAAATGGTATAAAATACCGACATTTTTTTGGGAAGACACAAAATGCAAAAGTTAGGTAACTTTATTATGAAACGTTTCGCCTACACAGTAGGCTTCTTCAGTCAAGTACAGAAAAGTTGATAGAAGCAGAAGATACTTGAAGACGATGTAATCAGCCCAAACCCACCCTTAAAGTTTTGAGGTGGTCAGTCCCTCAGAGGGACCTGACCTGTCAACATCTGAGTTCTTACCTCTCCTAGTGGCCTACGTCTCACCTCTTGGCGCTATAAAAAGCTCCATCCTGTCACTTCTTCTCCATATTGTTTCATACTATGGAACAATGCTCTTCTCCAGACTGAGGGACTGACCACCTCAAAACTTTAAGGGTGATGGACTGATTACATCGTCTTCAAGTATCTTCTGCTTCTATCAACTTTTCTGTACTTGACTGAAGAAGCCTACTGTGTAGGCGAAACGTTTCATAATAAAGATACCTAACTGTTGCATATGTGTCTTACCTAACAACCTGTCGGTATTTTATACCATTTTAATGTTCAACCTACCAGTTTCATGTAGAGGTATTCCATTTACGGACTATTTTGCTGCAATATCTTCCCAACTTCACACCCGTTGGCAACAACATTGGTCTACTATGCTCGGCAACAAACTTCAATCTATTAAACCGAGTATAGGTTACTGGGCGTCTTCTTATCACCAGTGTCGAGGTTGGGAGACTATACTCTCTCCCGTCTTCGCATTGGCCATACTCGTCTTACTCATGGATATCTCATGGAGAGGCGCCCTGCTCCTCTCTGTGAGAATTGCCAAGTTCCATTATCAGTCAGCCACATTCTGTTGGACTGCCCACTTTATCAACAAGCACGCAAAATTTTACCTCCTCGTCGCCCTTCGCTTTTGCTGCTCTCTCTTAACCTTCCCTTCTCGCTGATGGACCCCCTTTCATCTAGACTCTCTCATTGACTTTTTGACAACAACTGACTGACTTCACAAATTCTGATGATACCTTCAGCCCTTTCTACTTCAATCTCTTGCTACCCTCTACCCCCGTACTATCCCCTGCCCCGCTGTTTTCTGTAACCTACTGATCATCCCTCCTCCCTTCTGCCATCCAATACCCTCGCTTCCTTCCCTACCCTGCAGCGCTGTATAGCCCTTGTGGCTTAGCGCTTCTTTTTTATTATAATAATAATTTGGGTCACCCTACCTTGGTGAGAGATGACTGCTGTGATAGAAAAAAATATGCTGTATGTAATGAACATGTTGAGGTTGTGTAAATTATACAAAGGATATGTTAAATATTTATAATAGTACAATACAGTATGTACACAAAACAGATGCAGTATGTACTTACAGATCAAGGACATCCACATTTATTTTTCACTCTGGGGTTGTCACAAAATAGTGATGTGATAAATTTGTTACTGTAACTGCATATAAGCATTCCTTGAAAAATGTGATAAATATTCCATACTGTACACTGATATTTCAGAATCTTTTAGACAACAGTTAAATATTACAAATAGCTTATAGCTTTCAAGTATAAATATAAATTAACAAAATTAACTCAAGAAATGGTACATTAGTGATCTGTATTAAATATACACTTCAGTAAAAAAAAATTCATTGTTACCTATAACAAGTTATGGTCATTTCAGTGGTGACTATATATAAACGTAACCTGTTAAGCACAAGGGTAATAGTAATTTTTTTCACATTTCAGAAGCTGCCTTAACATGCTTTGCACTACTTACCTGACAACTACTGAAATAAAATATCATGACATGTAAATTAATACTGTATGCAATTAGATTCTGTATCAGGTTAAATAAAAAAAGATATTGAGTATTTATTAATTTATGATGCAAAATGTTCTTTGAGTTCTGGATCTGTTGGCTTGAGAATAACCTTGTCCTTTAAATTAACAACCCATCCTGGCTCTAAACCAAAGAAAATCTGACGTGGATCCTTTCGTTCTAGTAGTATATCTTTATTAGGCGATGCATTCACATCTGGTAATTCATAGCCATATTTCTGAGGGTAAAAATAAAAAGCATTAAGATACCATATTTTACTATTGGCTGAAAATTTCTTTTTTTTTTAAAACCTTTGTGATCAAAGATATAATTTAAATACTGTTGCACTTCTGATACCTTTGTCCCCTAAGGCACTTCTCTATGAGAAATAAATCATGCAGATCTCCAAAGATTTTAAATTTTGAAAAACATATAAAAGTTAAAGAAAATAAATAGAAACTTAGGAAATAAACAATATATATATAAATTGTGTGTGTGTGCATATACACATGCACACACAAAACTGTGACATGACCCATGTGGTTATCGGTGAGTATGTATGCGCGCACACACACACAAATGCCATTTTATTAGGTACATATGCACCTCAATGCATAAAAACATGCAGACATAGTCAAGAGGTTCAGTTGTTGTTCAGACCATACACCAGAATGGGAAAGAAATGTAATCTAAGTGATTTTGACAGTGGAATGATTGCTGGCACCAGTTGGGATGGTTTAACCCTTTCAGGGTCCAGAGGCCAAATTTCAAAGTGCACACCAGGGTCCAAGAATTTTCAAAAAAAAAAAAAAATTTATTTTTTCTTATGAAATGGTAGAGAACTTTTTCTAAAGGTAATAAAACAAAAAGTACGAAATTTGATGGAAAATTGACGAATTATGCTCTCGCGAATTTTGATGTGCCAGCGATATTTACGAATCGGCGATTTTGCCGACTTTGACTCCCATTTTAGGTCAATTACATTATTCCAGTTGACCAAATTCTTAGATATTTCACTAGTATTATTTCTATTCTATCGATTGAGCACAAGAAATTGCCAAGTCAACTGTTTCAACTACAAAATAAAGTGATAGGATATTGGTAATTTGGCCAATTTAACACAAAGTTCAAAATATTCCAATTTCAAAATAGGGTCCAAAATAAACAATGTAGGTGTTCTTGGCACTAAACTAACATTTCCTCTGTTCATTAGTTGTTTTGAGGCTTTACAAATTAATTCCATTTTGATTTTTTATTCACATAATGAATTTTTATTCAAACCAAAAAATAGAAGATTTACTGTTTTGCAATATTGTAATAATTGTATAAATATCATCACATATTTGTGAATGTATATCAGACCCACCAGCTGGTGTGTATTAGACATGTGAGATCGTTTGTTTACTCTTGAACATTGGCAAAAATTTAACATTTCCGCTACCTTGAGCTCAGTTTCAAGCCATTTCCAGTGCTAAAACCAATCAAAATCATCTCTATTTCTGTAATATGTCTTCCATTCTATCAAATGAGACCAAGAAATCGCAAATACAACTATAAAAAACATATGAAAAAACACTGCAAAATCGCCGTTTTAATCGAAAATCACGGTCTCAGTTTTTTTCTCTCATTATACACTGTGTGCTGCAGGATTTGTTTTATGTGGTGCACACATACCACATAGATGTATTCTCTCATATCTAAGCCCAAATTTACCACTCACAGCTTATCAGAGTGAGCTGAGCTCATGGCGTAGATCTACGGCATGGACCCTGAAAGGGTTAAGTATCTCATAAGCTGATGAATTGGGATTCCACACACAACAGTCTCTAAGGTTCACAGAGAATGGTGTGAAAAGCAAAACATCCAATGAATGGCAGAGCTGTGGGTGAAAAATGCCAGTCCTGGAACCAACCAAAATCATCTCTGTTTCAGTAGTATGTCTTCCATTATATGAAATGATACCAAGAAAGAGCCAATAAAACCATAAAAACCAACCTAGAAAACACATTATTATAATCAAAACCAAGAGCTAAAACCACCAGAGCCATACAGCGCTGAGAATACACCTTAATGTCGCTATTTTAAACCAAACACAAGGTTTTCATTTTCCCCACTATGCACTCTAGGGCAGGATTTCTTTTATACCATGCACACTCACTGCACAGACCCATGTTCTCATATCTAGGCCAAAATTTACTGCTCGCAGCTTATATGAGTGAGCTGAGCTCGTGACATAGATGTATGTGAAGAACCCTGGTGTCAATAACGTAAATCTATGTTATGGGGAGTCAGAGGGTTAATTTTGGGGTGTCAGGACAATGAAAGGGTTAACAGATACAAACAGAAAATTCCTAATATATACCTGTGCTAGAAGGAACCTCTCTCTAGCTACCTCAGCTGGATCAGCCAGGTATCCACGATTTTTTGGATCAGAGTAGTAATCAATCAGATGCTGTGGAGGAAGCATTCGGCGAGGTATGGCAATACCTGGCAAAATCAAAGGGAATAATAAGTGACTAGAATAAAAATTCTAGCTCTTAAACTATTTTTTTTTTTTTTTACAATATTATCGGGTTGTACAACTTGATAACATTTTCACATAAGGCAAATCACATACACAACACACAATAAAATATGAAAAAATAGTGTGTAATTCCAACCTTGGTGATTCTTATTAGCTTTTCATAAAACCTAGTAACAAAAAAAATTGAACTATATAATCAAACTGAATGCAAAGTATCTAATAAATATACTGTCATAAATAATACAAACCTCTCCCAAAGAATTCTACTGGTTTTATGGCAGCTGTAAGAGAAAGTGGATCAAAGTATGCTGTAGTTATGAATCCTCCATTACGCTCCACAGATGCTATTACTGCTTCATTTGCCCACTGCACCTCTATATTTATTGTGGCTTTAAAATGGTCAATTCCCTGTAAAGTACACAAGTTATAGTTTATTTTGCCCAAAAAAAAAAAAAAAAAAAAATTCATATGGACTTATTACATTCTTATTTATATATATTATATTCACAAAAAATTGCTGAATGTATATGGGGAGTAGAAGTTGATGAGATAGAAGGAAGGGCAGTGGTAGAGGCAGGTAGTAGTAGTGACAGAGGATGGTGGTGGTGTGCTGGCAAAAGAATTAGGTAGTATGGAAGGTTTGTCACTGAGTAAGGAGGGGGCATGTTTTTTATTCTTTGGCCACTGGTTTGATAATGCACAGATTTTAAATACATGTACCTACTATAAATGCCTCCCCCCCCCAAAAAAAAATGCCTAACAAGGAGAGATGCTATTGTTGCTATTTACCATGACAAATGATAATTATACATACTGCACTGGTACTATACCTCATTTTCCAGCATGAAACCTCCCTCCTTCTGTTGTGGGCTGATACTGAATAACCCAGTGGCCATGAGCTGAGTAACATCAACAGGAACATCGCAGCGTAAACGGTTTGTGTCAATCATCATCTGCAGCTTTCCCATGCAGAGTGGTGTGTATGACAACTTCAAACTAATAAAGTAAGATCTTATTAGAGCAGTAATGTATCAAATAAGATCTTATTAGAGGATTAGTGTATCTGTATTTCTTAACAGACTACTGTATTGTGAAATTTACAAGTATAAATGATATATACAGTAAAACCTCTCATTAATAGATTTCAGCAATTTTGGACAGTAGCGATAGTATCTGGTATCTGAAGTATCAGACCAAGTCTGATGACTGATGTTTATCCCCTCAAGAAAGGTTCCTTGATACTGGTGAGGGGCTCTTGATATAGGGAATTGGATCTGTGCTCCAGTTCCCTGAATTAAGCCTGAATACCTTCCACATCCCCCTCCCCCCCACAGGCACTATAATCCTACGGGTTTAGCGCTTCCCCCTTCATTATAATAATAATCCGATGTTTATCTGGTGCTGGCTAGAGTGGCCACGTCCAGGCCCTGTCCATTTTCATTGTCTCTGAGACATAGGCCACTGTTGATTTATCAGTGCTGTACCTGTATGCTGTATTACCACCCAAGGACCACATGATATGCTGGATAATTATCCATCACTTAAATAATATATCACCCAAAGACCACTTAAATGATAAAAACTTCACCCAAGTACAGTGGACCCCCGGTATTTGATATTAATCCGTTCCTGAGAGCTCATCAAATACCGAAAATATCGAAAAGTGAATCAATTTTCCTCGTAAGAAATAATGGAAATTAAATTAATCCGTGCAAGACACCCAAAAGTATGAAAAAAAAAATTTACTACATGAAATATTAAGTTTAATGCAATAGAATAATTACAATAACAATAGAATAATTGACACTTACCTTGAATGAAGATCTGGTGATGATTGATGGGATGGGAGGAGGGGAGAGGTGTTAGTGCTTAGAAGGGGAATCCCCTTCCATTAGGACTTGAGGTAGCAAGTCCTAATGGCCATAGTGGCCTGTACCTCCCGTTCCTTTATGACATTCCTAAAGTGTTTCACAACATTGTCAGTGTAATAGTCACCAGCACGGCTTGCAATAGCTGTGTCAGGGTGATTTTCATCAAAAAAGGTTTGCACTTTAAGCCACTTTGCACACATTTCCTTAATCTTTGAAGTAGGCAACTTCTTCAATTTCTCTATCCCCTCCTCCGAAGCAGTTTCCTCAGGTGTGGCCTCTTGCTGTTGAAGATGATCTAGCAGCTCATCAGTGGTTAGTTCTTCATTGTCCTCCTCCACGAACTCTTCCACATCCTCCCCACTAACCTCCAGCCCCAAGGACTTCCCCAATGCCACAATGGATTCCTCAACTGGCATAGGCTTCTCAGGGTTAGCCTCAAATCCTTCAAAATCCCTTTTGTCTACACATTCTGGCCACAGTTTTTTTCCAAGCAGAGTTCAAGGTCCTCTTAGTCACTCCCTCCCAAGCCATACCTATAAGGTTTATACAATTGAGGATATTAAAGTGATCCTTCCAAAACTCTTTTAGAGTCAGTTGAGTTTCTGTGGTCACTACAAAGCACTTTTGAAATGTAGCTTTTGTGTACAGTTTCTTGAAGTTGGAAATGACCTGCTGGTCCATGGGCTGCAGGAGAGGAGTGGTATTAGGAGGCAAAAACTTGACCTTAATGAAGCTCATGTCCCCAGAAAGTCGCTCTGCCAAGTCTGTAGGATGACCAGGGGCACTGTCTAATACCAGGAGGCACTTAAGGTCTAATTTCTTTTCAATTAGGTAATTTTTCACAGTGGGGGCAAATGCATGGTGTAACCAGTCATAGAAAAAGTCCCTAGTGACCCATGCCTTACTGTTTGCCCTCCACAGCACACATAAATTAGCCTTGAGGACATTGTTTTTCCTGAACACTCTGGGAGTTTCAGAGTGATACACCAATAAAGGCTTCACTTTACAATCACCACTAGCATTGGCACACATCAACAGAGTAAGCCTGTCTTTCATAGGCTTATGTCCTGGGAGTGCCTTTTCCTCCTGAGTAATGTAGGTCCTGCTTGGCATTTTCTTCCAAAACAGGCCTGTTTCGTTGCAATTAAACACTTGTTCAGGTTTCAAGTCTTCACTGTCTATGTAATCCTTGAATTCCTTCACATATTTTTCAGCTGCTTTTTGGTCTGAACTGGCAGCCTCACCATGCCTAATCACACTATGTATGCCACTATGATTCTTAAATCTTTCAAACCAACCTTTGCTGGCCTTAAATTCACTCACATCAGCACTAGTTGCAGGCAATTTCTTTACCAAATCGTCATGCAACTGCCTAGCCTTTTCACAAATGATCGCTTGAGAGATGCTATCTCCTGCTATCTGTTTTTCATTTATCCACACCAATAACAGCCTCTCAACATTTTCTAACACTTGCGGTCGCTATTTCGCAATCACAGTTGCACCTTTTGCAAGAACAGCTTCCTTGATTGCCATTTTCCTGGTCACTATAGTAGAGGTGGTTGACTGGGGTTTACTATACAACCTTACCAGCTCCGACACACGCACTCCACTTTCGTACTTTGCAATTATCTCTTTCTTCATTTCAATAGTCATTAGCGCCTTTTTTCTCGAAGGGTTGGCACTAGAAGCTTTCTTGGGGCCCATGGTGACTTTTTTTGCAGAAACAAGCACCAAAAACAGTGATAATGTGGAATGTACCGAATGTATCCTTAGATGCGCGCACACTGGCTGGCTTGTAAACACTGGCACACACGGAGCAGTTCAGACCACATGTGGACATGTCTCGTACGAATCGCATCAAATACCGGGTTTTCGATCGGATACCAAGGCAAAATTTTTGTGATATAATGCATCAAATACCGTATTTATCAAATACCGATGCCATCGAATACTGGGGGTCCACTGTACCACATAAATGACATGTTATTACTCAGGGACAACACAAATGATATATCATCACATAGGTACCACATAAATCATACAACAAACCCTCAATATAACAGATTAATGGGAAAAATTGTCTCTCTATTAAATCAAAATAACGTTAAAAAATAGCAATACAGCCTTTCCTCGATGTACTCGTTTACCGACTACTCGGACTTACGAAGGGTTCTCTGACCAGTATGCATACCTAAATAATGTGTATTAGAGCTGATTTCCTCAATTCTGTTTATTACAATATACAGTACACTGCTGTACAAACATTTTAAAATATACCAGAAATGTTATAAATGGTGCAAAGGTAACATTAAAACAATATCAAAGATGGTTGACACAAACCCACTACCATTATGCTCCTCACTTAGCGACAAATTCGTTTACCGACGTGGTCTTAGGAATGGAACTCCATCGTTCAGTAAGGAGAGGCTGTACAATAAACAAAAGTTCTTTACTGTATACCTAGAATAGTAATGTAAACACAATTTGCAGATATATTGTAATAAACATTTAAAATATAAGAGTTAATAGTACAATTTACCCAGTGGAGTTTGCCCATAATTTTAAAATTCTATTATAGTGAGGGTTTACTCTATAATTACTCAAGAACCACATGACAAGTATATTATTATGCAAGTACCATACTAAGCATATGATGTAACACCCAAGGACCACATGAATGATGTACTATCAACCAAGGGCCACATACTGGTAAATGATATACCATACTGTATCACCCAAGGACCACATAAATACTGTACTGACACTTTTAAATTGCTAGCATCAACCATGTATAGTTGATGTAAATTAAACCATGGTATTGTAATATGAGATCTGTACCTAAAGAAAAATGTAGAGAAAAATATATATGTTATAATAAATGTTACTATAATAAAGCATTTACAATGAAGCACAAATGTGAACAATACCTAGATAAAAGTAAAGAACTTTTCATTGCATTTATGGATTTTGAAATGGCATATGATAGAGTGGATAGAGAAGCAATGTGGCAGATGTTGCAAATGTATGGAATAGGTAGCAGGTTACTTAAAGCAATAGAGATATGTGGATAGTGAGGTGCAGACTAGGGTATGTAGGACAGAGGGAGATTATTTTCCAGTAACGATAGACCTTAGACAGGAATGTGTGATGGGGTTGTAAAAATTGAATGCTAGGGTATTAACCCCTTGACTGTCGCAACCCCAAATCCTGAGGTATCTCCTGGTGTCGCAAAATTCCCCCCCCCCCCCCAAAAAAAAATTCTTATGAAATGATAGAGAATCTTTTCTCGATTGTAATGACACCAAAAGAACGAAATTTGATGGAAAACTGATGGAATTGCGCTCTTGCGAAGTTAGCAGCCTCGGCGATATTTACAAATCGTTGATTTCGCCCACTTTGAGCCCTATTTTCGGCTTATTCCATTGTTCTAGTCGACCAAACTCATAGCGATTTCTTTAGAACTCCATTTTTTCTATTGATTGAGTACAAGAAACTGCCCATTTACCAATTTCAACTACCCAATAACATGGTCAGAAATTTGCAATTTGGCCAATTTCACAAAAATTAAAAAATACGACAATTTCAAAACAGGGTCCAGAATGAACAATGCAGACATTCATGGCTCTAAAATAACATTTTCTTTGTTCATCAGTCACGTCTCCAGGCCCCTCTGATATTACTCTTGCTTTCTATTTTGAATTTTTATTCAAACAAAAAATAGAAGATTTACTGTTATGCAGACTACTGCAATATTGTAATAATTGTGTAAATAATGTCAACCCATTCATGACTGCATATTAGAATGGCTACTTGGACATTTATTAAAAAATGACATTTGTTTACTTTTGAACATCGGCAAAAATCAAACATTTCCCCTTCTTTGAGCTCCATTTCAAGGTTCTTTTCATAGTAAAACCAATCAAAATCACATCTATTTCTATAATATGTTTTCCATTCTATCAAATGAGACCAAGAAACCGAGAATACAACCATAAATACTATACAAAAATAGACCACAAAGTCGGCATTTTAATTAAAAAAACGGTCGGAGTTTTTTTTTTTCCTCATTATGTACTGCGTGCTGCAGGATTTTTTTTATATGGTGCACACTGACCACACAGACCC